AATTTCCCCCAATTCCCAATTTTCCCAAAATCCCCGGAATTTCCCCCAAATCCCCAATTTTCCCGAAATCCCCGGAATTTCCCCCAAATTCCCCATTTCCCCCAAATCCCCAATTTTCCCCAAATTCCCAATTTTCCCAAAATCCCCGGAATTTGCCCCAAATTCCCAATTTTCCCAAAATCCCCGGGATTTCCCCCAATTCCCCAATTTCCCCCAAATTCCCCATTTCCCCCAAATTCCCAATTTTCCCAAAATCCCCGGAATTTGCCCCAATTCCCAATTTTCCCAAAATCCCCGGAATTTGCCCCAATTCCCACCTGCAGCAGGAGCCTCCGGGACCTCTCGAGGCGCCGCACGCGGCCGAGCCCGGCGGCGCGGCACAGCGACACGGCGTTGGTGGAGAAGGGCGTGCACATCCCCAGCCTGGCCCAATTAACAGCAATTCGTTAATTACCCTCATTAATTAGCGCTAATTAGACAAAATTCCCAAAAAAAACCCCGAAAAAATGGAAAAAAAGGCAAATAAACGACATAAAATTCCCCCAAATTCCACCCAAATGCCACCACAGAGACAGAACCCCCAGCCTGGCATTAATTAACCCAAATTAATTAATTAGCCAGAATTAATTAGCACTAATTGGCCAAAAAATTCTTTTAAAATCCCAAAAATCCCAAAAAAAGTCAAAATAAACCCATTAAAAACCAAAAAAATCCCCCAAATTCCACCCAAAAGCCACCACAGAGACAGAACCCCCAGCCTGGCAATAATTAACCCAAATTAATTAATTATACATAATTAATTAGCACTAATTAGCCAAAATTCCCAAAAAAAAACCCCGAAAAAATGCAAAAAAACCCAAAAAAATGACGTAAAGAAGCGAAAAAATTCCCCCCAATTCCACCCAAATGCCACCACAGAGACAGAGCCCCCAGCCTGGCATTAATTAACCCCAATTAATTAATTATACATAATTAATTAGCACTAATTAGCCAAAATTCCCCAAAAAAACCCTGAAAAAATGAAAAAAAAGCCCAAAAAAAGACGTAAAAAAGCAAAAAAATTCCACAAAATTTCAACCAAACGGTGGCACAGAGACAGAACCCCCAGCCTGGCACTAATTAACCCCAATTAATTAATTAGCCATCAATAATTAGCACTAATTAGCCAAAATTCCCAAAAATACCCAAAAAAAATGCAAAAAAACGATGTAAAAAAGCAAAAAAATTCCCCCCAATTCCACCCAAATGCCACCACAGAGACAGAACCCCCAGCCTGGCATTAATTAACCCCAATTAATTAATTATACATAATTAATTAGCACTAATTAGTCAAAATTTTCCAAAAAAACCCGAAAAAATGAAAAAAACCCAAAAAAACGACATAAAATTCCCCCATATTCCAGCCAAATGCCCCCACAGAGACAGAACCCGCAGCCTGGCATTAATTAACCCCAATTAATTAATTATACGTAATTAATTAGCACCAATTAGCCAAAATTCCCAAAAAAACCCATAAAAATTAAAAAAGAAACCAAAAAAATGACATAAAAAAAGCAAAAAATTTCCCCCCAATTCCACCCAAATGCCACCACAGAGACAGAACCCCCAGCCTGGCAATAATTAACCCAAATTAATTAATTAGCCAGCATTAATTACCACTAATTAGCCAAAAATTTTTTTAAAAAAGCCCAAAAAATGCAAAAAAAGCCCCAAAATCCCCCAAAAGCCCCAGCCGGCGGCACAGCGACACGGCGTTGGTGGAGAAGGGCGTGCACATCCCCAGCCTGGCCCAATTAACAGCAACTCNAAAATCCCCCAAAAGCCCCAGCCGGCGGCACAGCGACACGGCGTTGGTGGAGAAGGGCGTGCACATCCCCAGCCTGGCCCAATTAACAGCAACTCCTTAATTACCCTCATTAATTAGCCGTAATTAGACAAAATTCCCAAAAAAAACCCCGAAAAAATGCAAAAAAAGGCAAAAAAATGACGTAAAAAAGTGAAAAAATTCCACAAAATTTCAACCAAACGGTGGCACAGAGACAGAACCCCCAGCCTGGCATTAATTAACCCCAATTAATTAATTAGCCATCAATAATTAGCACTAATTAGTCAAAATTCCCAAAAATACCCCAAAAAAATGCAAAAAAACGATGTAAAAAAGCGAAAAAATTCCCCCCAAATTCCACCCAAATGCCACCACAGAGACAGAACCCCCAGCCTGGCACTAATTAACCCCAATTAATTAATTAGCCAGAATTAATTAGCACTAATTGGCCAAAAAATTCTTTTAAAATCCCAAAAATCCCAAAAAAAGTCAAAACAAACCCGTTAAAAACCAAAAAAATCCCCCAAATTCCACCCAAAAGCCACCACAGAGACACAGCCCCAAAGTCTGGGGGTAATTAACCCCAATTAATTAATTAGCCATCAGTAATTAGCACTAATTAGCCAAAATTCCCAAAAAAAACCCCATAAAAATTAAAAAAGAAACCAAAAAAACGATGTAAAAAAGCGTAAAAATTCCCCCAAATGCCACCACAGAGACAGAACCCCCAGCCTGGCATTAATTAACCCCAATTAATTAATTATCCCAGATTTATTAGTGCTAATTAGCCAAAAAAATTTTTTCAATCCCCAAAAAATGCAAAAAAAACCAAAAAAAAATTATTTTAAAAAGTGAAAAAATTCCCCCAAATTTCAACCAAATGCCAGCCCAGCCTGGATTAATTAACCATAATT